GTGTGCACACGTGCACTGTCTGACAACCATAATAGCTAGCTCCGCCGGAAAGGGATCGTAAAGATGGCAGCGTAATGCTTGACTGGAGAAAGCGATGCTGCAGCGATGCTTAAAACCAAAAGCGCAGGCGTGAGTTGCGAGCCCTGTCAGAGCTCGCGGAAACCCGAATCTGCAAACACGATAGACCTAGACCCCTGCATTCACCCTCTGGTTGCCGTAGGCAGCTGGCAAATCCGCTGTCTCAACTTTGAAAGCAAGGCCAAGCGGGGACGACGCGGAAACCTGGCAAAGGTCGAAGACCACTGCTTGGATCGAAAGAGCCTTAAAATCATGCAGATTTCAAGATTTTGAACTAGGGGAGAGGCTTCGGTTGAATGTTGAGCGTAGCCCTCGTGGGTAAGGCTCTGTTGTAGGGCTCAGCGCCCTCAGCGCCGCAATTCCTACGACCCCTTTCCAAACCCCTATGCAAGGCCTGATAGCTTTCCACAGGCCGTCCACCGGAGTCCTCCGGTCCCCTGCAGATCCGAGCAGCAATAGAGTTAACGGTTTAGAGACATTAAGCATGATGATGGCGATGACAATGATGACGGTGGTGGTGGTAGTGGTGATGGTGATGATGATCATGTTGATGTTCATGTTGATGATGATGATGATGATGATGGAGGTGATGATGATGATGATGCTGATGCTGATGATGATGATGACGACGATTGTAGCACTTGTCCTTATTGCTAGCAATACTGTGCTCGCACTGTGCATATTTGTATGTTCCCTATGAGGAACGCCGAACGGTTTGTGAAACTGAAGATCAACGCGCTTTCACTTTGTGTCCTTGATAGCGTCAGCTCTGGGCAACTTTCATCTTCACGAAATTGAAAGGTTGCCAAGTTGTAATGGCAACAGCGAAACATACACAAGTCTGGCCATAATATTACGTCCATCTACCATAGGCACTCTATTAGCAAATCTGAGAAGCTTACGGAATCGAAGTCTCTCCCCGAGATCTTGCTACCGGGTCTCTCTGGATATGTTCGAGCAATGACTGCCTGGACGAGGCCTTGGCCTGACCAGTTTAGCAAGGTTTGCAGAGAACTGCCTCCACGACAGTTCGACCCGCCAAGCGAATGCCTCTCCAACTGCCTCAGATATGCCAGCGAGTGCTTGGAGGACAGCTTCAGCTTTACCTTACACTCTTCACGGTTGTCGCTTTGGGGCTTTCCTGTTGCTCGTGCAGTAGTTTCCAGCGACTGAACAAGACGGGCAATGAATTCTGGTAACGTGTCAGAGTTCAAAAAAGCGTGCTGCATGCACATGCTCAGAGACGTTGCTGTATCCTGTACCCAGCAAGCGCTGCGTCCACAGGGACAACTGACGAACTTACGAGTTACAGGCAGGATATATGACTGGCAAGGACGGAGAGCGAGCCTTACAGGATACCGAGTTCGGCAAATCGTCTGCGTGAGCACAAAAGGGCATGAAGACATTGTCCCAGTCTTACCTTGTTGCGCCCTGCGTCCTTTAAGTTTGGCTGCTGACTCAAGCGTCCAAGCGGGCGCCAAGATTATAATTGTAGCATGCCTGCAAACACACAAGACCACATCCGATGTGCATGTTTTTAAGTTGCATCTTGTGCCGAATGTGGAATCTGAAGAATTTGGCCCTTCCTCAGCATTCCACCCTGAACCCGTCATGAGTCATAATCCAAAAAACCAGTGGCTGAATGCCCTTTGTGATCCGAGAGAACTGGTATGCCTAGTTCTACCTCAAGCCCCCAGCCTGTAGTGATTTCCCTGATCTCTGGAGCCCTCTCCCTGTAGTGTCATCCGTTCCTTGTGGAATCTACTCTCCTGCATCTCAGACACAACGTCTTGCGGTGGGCTGGGCGGAACTGGCTGGCTGGTAGAATAAGCAGCACTGCTGGGTAGGGACCTGCACGCGACAGTACCAGTACTTTTCCGGTGCTCGCTTAACTCTCGTCCGCTTGCCGCGGGCTGACGTGCAGCCTGAAGTCTACCGGACTCCAGTTGATTGTAGCGGAATGCACATGGAGGACTGGCTACTTCGGGCTTCATCGACATTATGGCTTGCGGATGGTGGCCTTGGCTCGGGGCTGGCTTAAACTGAACAATGCACGAAAATGCAAGGCTGCCTCGCCTCCCAAGGTCGTTCCAAGCGACGATGTGCACATAATACCTTCACAGCCGTGCAAAAAACCTTTGAATCACGGACCGGGTACCCCGAGCAGTAGAAGTGGCGGTGGCGGCAGTGGTAGTAGTCGTCGTCGTGCAATAGTCAGTGGTGGTGGAGGTGCTGGTCGTAGAAGCACTAGCAATATCACCAAAACTAATGGGTTAAATATTCTGACTGTTGTCAATGTAGGGGTGGGGATAGTGGTAGTAGACTTGTAGTGGCAGTAGCGGTAGCAGCAGCAGTAGCAGTAGCAGTGGCCATGCCACTGCCACTGTGGCAGTGGCAGCAGGAGCAGGAGTAGCAGTTAGTAGTAATGGTAGTAGTCTTGGTAGTAGTAGTAGTAGCAGTAGTAGTAGTAGTAGTAGTAGTAGTAGCAGTAGCAGCAGAAGTAGTAGTAGTCGAAGTCGAAGTCGAAGTCGAAGTCGAAGTCGAAGTCGAAGTCGAAGTCGAAGTCGAAGTCGAAGTGGTGGTGGTGGTGGTGG